TCGGAGCAGACAGCTTGCGTTGCGTACACGCTTATTATTGGGTTGTTCGAAAAGTTTCCGCCGATTTTGGACACCCCGGATTCATCAATCGTTGTACAAAAGATCAAGGACCCAATCTAATATGGTTATATGTTTTCTGAAAGAGTAGGTCCTCCTCTATATTCCTGTTGGGATTCTGTCAACATTCGTCGAAGTTTTCCTGTACAGGACTCTTATGAAAATGGAGAACCACTGCTCGCATTTTCGACATCTGAAGTATTTCTTTTACCGCAAGGCCTAGAATGCGGCTCAAGCCGCATGAAAGATATATGACGTTTGAGTAGACCATGCCCTAGAGGAACGTGCAGTGCATGACTAGTTTGCTAAACCCAATCAGAGTGAATTTGCCTTCGAAGACCGGCAACCCTGAGAGAGACTATCATCAGTTTGAACGACCAACTCAAAATGTTAACCGAAGCGAATCGGCACATCACTGCTCGTGGAGTAGGGCAAGGGTTAATGTTCCGAAATTAACATTCATGGTCATCTGCAGACACTTGGNTTTGTGAAGCGCCGTGATGTTTAGATATTTCGCGAAAGGAGCGAGCGCATTGCGATCGACCGCGCCTCCATGTGCGACTCGTTGCTCAAACGAAATAAAAATGAGCCCTTTCTGAAACGCAAGAGCTTGAGAGACGAAAATTGGATTGTGTACAGCAATGAGAAGCGGAAGCGATCGTAGAGCTCCCTAGTGAGCCGTCACAAACCGCTGCAAAAGTCAAAATCCAGGTGCGGAAGCCTATGCCGAGTTGCTGATGGGATTCCAGAGAAATCACTAATCATGAGCTGTTGTCGCATAATCGAACGATGCCTTCGGAAAAATACTATAGTAAGCTAGAAAATATAGAGGCAGCGATAGACCAAAAGCGACCCGAAGTGGCCAATTGTGAAGGCGTAATCTTCCAACAGGGTACCTCCAGACCACACGTATTTTTGGCCACTCGTCAAAAGTTGCTAAAGCTTGGGTGGGATGCCTTACCACACCCCCCATATAGTCAAGACATAGCACCATCAGAATACCACTTGTTTGGGTTTCTGCAGAATTCCTTGCATGGAAAATCGTTCAATTCACTGGAGGACTGCAAAAAGCACCAGAGAGAGTTTTTCGATTTTAAGTCTGGAACCTTCTATGGAAAGGGCAACTGAAATCTACAGGAAGATGGCGAATCCTTACTAAACAGAATGGAGGATATATTGTTCATCCCATGGATTTCTTCTTCTAGGAATATTCATTCGAAGATGAATCAAAAATCGGCGGGAATTTCTCGGACAACCCAATATTATACCATATCTTCTTTCGTGCTTGTCTTCGCAACCATGGTTCGAACGGTGATCTTGTTGAAACCGGAGACATTTATCTGAGGGATTCTGCCGTTGCTATAGCTATGATGTTTCGTTTGGTGCCCTTTCCGTTGTAGTAGAACACCTTTCATCGCATCGGAGTTCTACCGAATTAAATCGGAGTCTTCTGGTGTTATAGCTCTCTTATTCAAAATGAAACCTGAGGAAGCAATGCCTCGCAACTATATGGGAGCTGAGTCTTTATATAAGATTGGGTTTCTTCGCAGCAATTTTGAATGAAAACCAACAAGAGGTAGCTCTCGACTTGCTGTGGCCTGCATCAGGAAGTGCGCGGAATCCAAACTTCAATCGATTTCAGATTAACTCAGGCCTCACTTTTTTCTCAAGTGAAGTTCCTTTGCTACATTTGAGAAACGACTGCTTACCAGTCTGGATACTGGTAAGGAGCGATTTAAGATAAAATAAAGGGGATCCATGCGCGACGAGCGAAGCCTTATTGAAATAGACTAGGCTTACATGACATGTCGTCATTTGAAGCGTAGGAGGGGTGTGTGCGGTGTGGGCGTGGCTAGAATTTGATAGTTTTAACAAAAGGGTTCGGTGACAGTTAATCCAATGCGCGTGATCAGCGAAGTGTCCAATAGAGTGGGAAGCGCGTCAGACTGAAAATCCATGATATGGTTTCGTAAGAAGAACCAGAAGATATTGAAGGTAGGTACAATGCGCGCAGCGAAAGATTGGGAGTTAATTTCCAGATTATTCGGAACTACTTGAGACTTCTTGACTTCATAACTTTGCTAATAGTAGCCTTCACAATCGAGTGATAGTAATGACGAACGTTTATTTGATGAATCCAAAGGCCATTATGAATTGCTTGACAGCAAATTCCTCCACATCAAGGAAAATGGAATCTTCGTAAACTTGACAGTGATAGTTTCAACTTTTGCAGCATTTTTACGCTATTATGCAGTTCTTGGTCGCGCTGGAAGTGGCAAACGTAAGTGACACTATTTGCTATTTTTACTTGATTATTTATTACCAATAATGCAGGCGGCAGGCCAACTTCAACACTGTGAGTAGAATAGTTCGGCTACTCTGTGTTGAAGTTGGTCTGCCATCTGCATCGCTTCCAAAATTGAATGCCCTGGTCCAAGATAACTCGCGATATGAATTCCATCCCAAACACACAAACACACACAACACAGTATGATACAGGTCGTGGACGCCGCGCATGCCCTGTTCAAGTCATGCGCGTTTAAGTTACTTGTTTCATTCCCCACTCACTCCAATTTCTTGTCTCTTACTAAGATTGCCCTCTATTCGCACATGCATCCCCCTCTATCCCCTGCAGCTCCAAGGGAATAATTCACGCCTAAAACCATACATCCCCTATAAAGTTGGACTTGTAACGTAATTTTTGTACACGTCCCACCCCTCCCCTCCTCCCTCTTCTCTGGGCGGAGTCTAGTTCAACTATCATTGGGATTCCCTTCGAACCGCCTGTACCCTTTCAAATTTTAACGTTCCAAGTCTGGGGAAATAATCTTCGCGCAACACCGTCCTCTCCCCTGCCCCTCCTCCACCCTGGGCGGAGTTTAGTCCTGTCACTTATCATCGGTCTTTCCCTTGTGCCGCCCTATTCTTACCAAACTTGAACCCCCTAGGTCCAGGAAACAGGAATAAGGAAATTGGGTGAAAAGTGTCTTCACCGACACGCACGCACAATCGCACCAACACACAACATAATATATAGTAGGATCGGATGCGCAGGCTAGATTACGATAGGGTACTTTGAGATTGCGAAGCTCTTCTACATTTCTTCAATAGCCTCTAGTCTTTTTTCGAGCTCTACGGGGTGCGTCATAAGTATAGTAACACTTTTCGGACGTCTGTAATTTCATTGTTTGGAGGGTTTCTCCAAATCTGCACCTTCCCTTATGATTATGATATAGCTTAGCCCACACTTCTACTTTGGTACTCTCAATTCCTCAGATTTCGAGAAACGGTGGAGCCCCGCAGACATCCACCGACCGTTCCGTTTTTGCGGGCGTTTGGTAAGTCTTTTTCTGGATTCGTTCCTCGTTTCAAGGTTTCCCACATGACAGTCCTTTGAATCGCTCCGCGTAGACTGCTCAATAACAAACCTCAATACGGTCTCTCACATACGACCCCTTTCCCGAATAAAATTGCTTGGGAAGGAGTACGCTGCGGAACCGGAAACACAAGGAAAGTGAGTGCTGATTTGTCTGCATTTTCCAATCCGATGGGAAGAGTCTACCCAGAGTAGATGCAACTGTATCCGAATAAGATTCGAAAACGTTATAGGCTTTTTGACGAGAAGAAGTTGAAGAGTAAAAACAAATGCCATGCGCTACTTGCGCGCGGTACGCGCTTCGACACATTTTTTCCTGACTAGCGGCTGTTCAGCTTGGAAACAATGTTAAGATCCCAAAAAATACGTATATTTCACACTACGAGTGCTGGAGCTGTTGAGAAGAGTCAGATTGCCTCGCCAGCCATTTTACCTTTTTCATGATAGTTTGGGCTAGAATCTCTACCATCAGAGCGATATCTCAANTTTTGGTCGAGAATGATATAAATTTGATTCCAAGGGATTTCCTGAAAGGAAGCAGCTGGAGTCAAAGGTTTTTCTAGGGATCCGATTAGAAAACTATGGCGCACTTGCCTACGAATGGGAAAAGAGCGAGACTGGTGCTGAAGAAATGCTCGCGACCACATCCTACCTTCCAATCCTACGCATTTCCCGGACCACAATGCGATGGGTCGCTTTATATAGTACTGGAGAGGAAAGCCTGCGCTTCAACCGCACCAATGTTTCTGCTCCTAAGAAATCAATGAAAAAAGTCCGGGCTAGTGTTTCTCGAGAACTCTGCGTGTCACCGTCGATGAGTAGCCGAAGCGTCTTCAAGCTATAATTACGATTATATAAGATCTCCGTGTGTAGCCAAATTATTTTGTTACCATATTTATGATGCACCCTGTATATTGATCTCAGCAACTACTTCCTCCGTAGACGGCGCTTATCCGGTGCATGTCTCGCCCCCTGTAGGCAGAAGTCCGCCGAGTCCATATAAGCACTTTTAATCTTGCCATAGGCCTCATCCATTCCGAACTTGACACAACACTCGAAGTTTTTCTTCAGATACCGAATTCTGTGTCAGACAAACAAACAAACGAACAAACAATTGACACACCAATTTCTTGGTTTATTAATTAAGGTTTTGTGAAAAATCCCAACTTTCACGCAGCTGAAGGCGCTACTCATTTGATTCTAAATCGTACAACTATTTGAATACAAAGTGCTCAGGGGAACGTTCAGTATCGGATAGCACTACAACGTTAGCGTAGGGGGGGGGGGTTCGGCATTTCCAGAGCAGTACTATCATTCAATACTTGATTGATCAACCACCTATGGCTATGTATTCTCGTTCTGTTATTTAACTACTTCTGAATTTCGTAAAAGTATTCTGTTGTAGATGTGCTTATAGACAATCGAGGAACGCCAGTAGATACGTCGATATATTGGAAAACAGAACTGAAGAACGTGATAACATGAAACCTCTGAGTGCTGGTCCGACAGAGCTACGTACGATGCGCGGTTTTGCAAAGTCTATGATAATGTGATTAGATGACATGGATCAATAATACCCTACAGCACCTCCCCTCTTAAGGTGCATCGTATTGGGACCTCTTAGGGTCCAGCTGGAGTCGGCGTTGCGGTCGTCCATTGCGTTGCGATCGTCGTAGTGGTCGGTCGAAGTCGTCTGCGGCGCACGGTCCTTGCTCACATAATCGAAGAGTGGCAGATCGAACACATCTGAAGGAGTGTTTATAGTTGTTGTTGTGGTTCTGTCGCTTCGAGGTCGCAGCTGGTTCACGTGTCGGGTCCATGGCAGATTTGCACAACGCACGAAAGTTGTGTTTCCAACACGTCGAACGATGGCACCCGGAGTCCAAAACTGCTTTGTTCCTCCATAGTCCTTGGCGCGATTGGTGGCCTTGGGTTCGAACTTGCGACGTAGTACTCCATGTCTTTGGTTGAACTGCGTTCCCATTTTGACGTCTCGTGGTCCATCAGGACTATCACCTACGTCGGCGATAACCTAGATCTCCGGCGTTGATGAGTGCGACACTATGAGACGTGAGAGGGCGTCCACTTGTCCGAAATTCCTTGTGTTGACATACGACACATATTACGAAGTTGTATTTGAGTAACATTTTGGCCGATCGCTGAAGACGGTTGGCATTGTGGACATGTATTTCTTCCTTGCTTCCAAAAGTAGCAACGAATTGCTTGTGATCGGTCTTCAGCGTGAAGTGTCGTCTGTGGACAAAGCGATGAATTTTCTGCGTAGCGAATGTGGGAGCTAGGGCTTCCTTTTCGATCCGGCTGTAGTTTTTCTGTGCTGGAGTGAGGCTAGTATGGTGACCTTCTCTAATCCGTCGGGAACCGGTGTGATAGTGTTGCTCCAATTCCGCATTTAGAAGCGTCGGCGGATACGACGATCCGAGCTGAGTGCTGCATTTATATTGTCGAAGGAAGATTGGCATTCCGGAGTCCACGTGTAGGCAGCATAGTTCATTGTAAGGGCGTCTAACGGAGCGCGCAGAGCGCTGTAGATCTTTGACGAAAATTCCGTAGAAATTGATGAGCCCGAGGTAAGCGCGTAAGTGACTGACGTCTCTTGGACCTGGCATCTTATGCACAGCTTTGACCTTTTCGGGGTCAGGGCGTCGTCCTTGGGCGTTGATGACGAAGCCAAGGTAGTTGATCTCTGCTGTTAGAAAACTGCACTTTTCGAGGCGAACACGGAGTCTAGTCGAGTGTTGGGTTCGTCGATGGTACTGCCAGTGACCAGTATGTCGTCGCCGTTTAGAAGAAGGATGGTTCAATACGACACTGCGCAGACTTCTCGACAGGACTGGACGACGCTCTTGAACAGCACCAACAGAGCGGCCCATTCTGAGTGGTCTATGGGCGTCAGAACCTGTGTAGATACAAGGCAAACGATTTCATCCGTAATTTTCCGTATAGCGGCATATGGAACAAGACGAGCCTTCTGAAAATTATCCTTGACGTTACACTTCAGAGTGAGCTTGGCGTTCGATTTGGTGCGTTGTCCTGATCCAGGCGTGTGAACGGTAAAGAACTTCTTCTTCAAGCGCGTAGTGAGTGAAGAGTTCAATGCGGTGAGCATCGATGAGGATACATTACAGATAGAGCTCTCGCGTAGGCGACGAAACAGAGGCTCATGCTAGATGATCAAGTCGAGACCTAGTAGTGACGGTGTGTCGGCAACGTAGCAAATACCTCGACCGTGATGACCATCAATGACGAAATTGCACTCGGAGCATCCTCGAACATTGATCGGCTTGTCATTGCTTGACCTCAGAGTGATTCGAGGGTGACTTAACATCGGGCGACCCATTGCGATCCAGTTCGCATTGCTCAGTAATGTGACATCGGCACCGATGTCAAGCCGCATGCGTATTATCTTCCCATTGATGTGCACTGGGGGTAGATGCGAGATATGGAAGTGTCGCCAGCATGCGTTGAGGCGACGACGACATTGTTGGCCGTTTTCCGCTTCCATGTAGGTTTCTGCTTCCTTTTGGTCATGATGTTCTTGCAGGATCTTTACTTGTGTCCGGAATATCCGCAGATATGACAAGTCTTGCCACACGGATGGAACAGACCCTTGACTGATTCGCTCCACCAAACACGGCGATGGTGGGTGGTGTTTTTGGTTCTGAGAGACATCGGCGTTGATAAGTGATGAAGCAGACCACTCGGGGAGAGTGGCATCCTGAAGAATGTTGAGGAACTGCTGGATTTCTGCGGCCAGTTCCTTTAACGTGGATTGTGAATTATCTTCCATCTTGCGGAGAGCGCGGGCCCGAATATCAGCATCTTCGAGAGAGGCGAGTCCGCATATCCATACGAGGCATTTCATCCGCTCTGGGTTGACGACGTTGAATTCGGCCATCGCGTGTCGCTGGTTGACTGGTCCGGTAAAGCCAAGAAGACTCTTGCCATTGCGTCCTCAGATATACGTAGCGGCGCTAGAAGACCGACATCCGTCCGAAAAGTTCCTTCAGCGTTGCTACGGTGTCTGACAGCGGTACTTCACAAGCCCTTTTTCTGAAGAATGTGGCTTGTGAAACGAGGGTATGTGTTGGCGTCGAGTTTGGAGACGATTGGTCGAGCTGCTATAGATTCATCCAAGGCAGAGCCGACCTTGGATATGACGTCTTTATAGCGATTGTGCCAGACCTCGAAGGTACAAAAATGTTCGGGATACGTATACGAAATCGGGTAAGCGCGCTTACAGCGAGCTCATCGCGAACTCTGCTGCTTTGGCTGGAGAAGCTGGAGCGGTCGAACGTGAGCCAGACTCCTTCCCTTCCATGCGACTGACGAGTTCAGTAAACATTCTCTGCTGTGGGATGAACATCTACATCTACATCTCCTACTGCATCCTGGCCTGGGCATCTAGGATGGCTTGTAGTCTTTTCATTTTCCTGTGTGACTACCCCTCCTACTCGATTGCCTGCTGCACTGGTAGTTCTCGCCGACCGCGTTGAAGTCCCTGAACTAGTCATTCTTGTTGTCCACGTTGAAGTCCACTGATCGCCAGCTGTCGTAGATGTGCTTGTAGACAGTCGAGGAACGATAGTAGATATGTAGATCTATTGGAAAACAGAATTGAACTGAACATGGAAACATTGAAGCTTCCGAGTACTGGTCTGGCAGAGCTACTTACAATGGGCCGTTTTGCAAAGTCTATGATAACATTTGCAATTGACACAGATTAATGATAGCCTACAACGTTTCTCTTTCCTTCCTTTGAGCATGTTCGCTTAGTAATCCTTCTATCGCTGGGAGAGCCCACTGAAGAGGAAGCGGTGCAGTGGACCTTCATGGACTGCGAAGACACCATTCTTTCTTTCAGAGCGTTCGTGAAGAGAACAATAGAAGTGGAGGAGTATCTACAGAATGATGCCGCGCCACTAAGCAAATCCGGTTGCGATCTATCCCTCTATCCGCCATCTGGGGTCGCGCCACGTAGCCTTAGCTTATGGTTAGAACCGATTACAGAAGCTTCACTGAAGGGGATCCATGAATAGAAACAATATTAGCGGTGAAGTAGTCGTTGTCCTACTGTCCTAATCAGATGAGAGGATCAGAAAATCAGATGCGAGGATTACTAATAACGGATTAGGGAATACAGTGAAAATTATCACCGGATCAATGACTTTTGTACTCTGTTGCCGGTCCTCTCATCTGACTTTCTCTTTTTCATCGGTTCCTAACATTAACCAGCTGATCCTGTCTAATCTCACATCACACGACAAGGGACCCTCCGTTGATGTTCAACAGGTAACTGACCATGCTAATCTTGTTTTCTGCAACCCGAATCTTATTATCGCTATCACTTCCTGCCGATCACCATCAACGTCCGCTCCGCCGTCCAATTACCTTTCAAATTTGAAGCTTCAGGTTCAGACGAAGTTAACGAAGTTATCGATTATCGGGCGATCTCACGCAAATACGCAACCACAGATTCGCACCGTGATAGGATATTGCATCTGCGCGCAATTGTTGTGCACTATTATAACATTACATTCTCCTAACCCAAAACCACCGACCGCAATAACGATACCTTTGGCCAGCTTAGCTCGTTTGAGTGTTGCTCAGTGATAAACATACGAAACTGCTCTTCGGTAGCAGTACCAGGTGAAATCAGTGCGTGCCAGCTTGAGTGGAAGAGCAAACCTCTTTTCGGGCATTACAATGATAAGTCCAACAAGAGTAAAGAAGGTAATAGGTTCACATAACAGCCTTATAGAAATTTTGTGGATGGATCGAAAGACTGTTCCCTTGATTTCTCACAAAACGTAAATCTTCTTGTACATTCTCTTGAGCTCTAGGCTGCAAGCGGACCGGGAACGGTAGCTCCCAGGCCCTATTTGCCGTAGATATCCTACATACTGCATTTTTACCCACTACCATACTCAGCAGCAACTCCCAACATACAAAAGTACCGTCCTGGCACTATTACTCCTTCGAACCGAAGTCATACAGGGAGTGCGTCCACAGGGGCCTCCTTCGATTATACTTGTTTATACAGAGGCTAGTCGGGCCGCCCGGCTAACGCCGTCTTCCCTCCTTATAGTGTCGCCCGGCTCCGCCGGGCGCTCTTCAATCCCGCAAGAAATTTGCTATGCGTAAATAACTCTTCGGATTCTCCTTTTTCTTTGGAAGCTCTACAACCTCAGTACTAGCTCCGAATGGGGAGCGATTTTTTCTGTTTTATAATTAAAGACGGTCCGCCCGGCTAACCTCAGGCTTCCCGCCTTCTTTGTCAAAGTAGTAGTAATCGGCTAACTCTCCACCCCTTCGAAGCAAATATTGGGTTGTACGAAAAGTTCCCGCCGATTTTTGATT